AACAAAGAAAAGAAAAGGGGCAGGAGATAGAAAGATCAAGAAAATTGAGAAAAAGAGAAGTAAATAAAAATAAACAAAACAAAAAAACAAAAACAGAAGAGAGTGAAAAAACTAAAGAGAAAAAATGAAAATAAACAAAGACGCCAATCAAGCTCCGCATTCCTTCAGGCTTCGTACCATAAGCGCGAAGTTACCCTAATTTTACAGGGAAAGCTGTTAAAAGATCACAACTCGAGTCACGCGCAGCGCCGTAGTTGTCCGCCGCCGGTGTCCGTAACCAGTATTCTACCATTAAGCCACGCCGGTGCTTGGGACATGTTGGCAAACTTGCCTTGAGCAGGATTAATGTCGGGAAAGCAATCGCGCTATTGTGACTTGTAAATCGTTTTAAAACAGTGAAACAACAACCAGTCGTCGCACGATGCGAATAGCGTAACGAGTGGGTCGTCCAACCCGTAACAAAATTTTGTTCTTCTTCACCTATTAACTGTGGCGGACACACACTTCAGACAATTCCTCGTCTTCGTCAGCCACTGCACGAACAATTGGCACAAAATTCCTTGCAAGTGTTTAGCGGATACCACGCTGCTCAGAAGGATGACAAAAATAGCATAGCGAATGGCGACATACTACCACAAAACTTATAATATTAGTTCTGTAGTGGGTATCAAGCAAGTGTACTTGCATCAGTCACCCAATGAGTGTTTAGGAAAGGCTCTGAAAGGCCGCTCTTTTAGCTTTCGCTGTGCCTGTGCTGTGCCTTCCGCGCAATCCTGGCATCGTTTTTCCTTTTTTTTTTTTCGTCGTAAAAACAGAATCAACTATCTATCTCTCTGTCTATCTGTCTGTCTATCTGTCTGCCTATATGATTAATTGATTGATTGATATGTGAGGTTTAACGTCCCAAAACCACCATTTGATTATGAGAGACGCCGTAGTGGAGGGCTCCGGAAATTTCGACCACCTGGGGTTCTTTAACGTGCACCCAAATCTGAGCACACGGGCCTACTACATTTCTGCCTCCATCGGAAATGCAGCCGCCGCAGCGGGGATTTGAACCCGCAACCTCCGGGTCAGCAGCCGAGTACTTTAGCGACTAGACCACCGCGGCGGGGCATCTCTATCTGTCTATCTATCTATCTATCTATCTATCTATCTATCTATCTATCTATCTATCTATCTATCTATCTATCTATCTATCTATCTATCTATCTATCTATCTATCTATCTATCTATCTATCTATCTAAACATTTACGACATAGAGAAATCTTGGCTCCTCACATGTGCGCGGCGGCGCTGTAGCGCCTGCGCTGCCCCGAAGCGGGTGCTGACCCGACGGTCACGGTTTCAATCTCGGCCGCGGTGACGGCATCTGCATGGAGGGAAATGCTGGAGACCACAGGACTGTAGGTGATCAAGCCACGTTAAAGAACACCAGATGGTACAAATTTACGGAGCCCTCCAGTGCGGCATCCCTCAAAATTGTGTCGTGGTTTTGGCACGTAATGCACGAGATATCATTGCGACATCAATTATATGAACCCTTTCGGCTGATTTTGCCGTCGGCGTCTAAATAGTGAGGATTCGAACAAGCCACCCCTCGCGCCGCCGCCCGCCGTGCCAGCCAGTGCAGGTACGCGCCATGCTTGTGTTGTTGACATAACGGCGTGCTATTTATATGCTCTATTTACTGTTGAACGCATTTCCTATCACCAACGACTATTTACTGTTGAACGCATTTCCTATCACCAACGCTTTCGCGTTTTCTTTCAAATTGAAAACTGCCCTTGCAACGCACACGATAAGGTGCTCCCCTCCTGTAACACTCATGATGTAGCAAAAAAAAAAAAAAAAAACAGGGAGTACACCTGGCGTTAGACACCACTCCATAGCAAGAAACGCAGAAAGAAGTCATTCATTGTGCCGAAGTTGAAAATAAAAAAATGGCAGCATATCCACGGAGTGAATGATGGGGAGTGGGGCGAAGCATTCGTCCGTCCATTCGTTCTTGCTTCCGTCCATTCCTGCGTACGTCTGTGTAACCGTTCATGCGTCCATCCACCCGTCCGTGCGTGCGTCTGTTCGTGCGTCCGTCCCTGCGTTCGTCCATGCATCCGCGCCTGCGTCCGTTCATGCATCCATCCATGCATCTGTCTGTGTGTCCGTTCGTCCATCTATTCAGCACTCCAAGTACCACCATCTCGCATCTTTTCATCATATATTCTCCATATAGAAGCACCGCCATCCAGCGGACATTTCAAGGACTAAACGAGAGGTGGCACATGCACACTTTCTTACGGCTTGCGCTTCGGGTTTACTTCCCACCTTTAACCACCTCGATTTCATGGTATATACTAGTTCACTGTATTCATGGCACTGCGGTCCAACACTCGCTAAACCTTTCTAAAACCAAGGAGGTTTCACCCAGCGAGTATAACGTAGCAACCCTTTCTTGCCAGATCGTGCTCAATGTACATGTCAATAGCTGCTAATGGGGATCGCAGCGTGCGCGTTACCTAAAGGCCGAATGCATCCTGTCTCTCATTCCCCCTTAGCAGCCATTAACATGTGCATTGAGCACTATCTTTTATTGTTCAACAACGCGCAGAAGAAATCTCTCACCGGAACCACCTTGGAGGTCAAAATCGTAAGGACCGCTATTTCGGGTATGTGCCACTGGCTGGTTACGTACTACGAGGGATGCACAAGCCACGCCATAAGGAGCGTCCCCCCTAAAAGAACAATCACACGGTGTCGGCTTCTGCATTTCAGAAAATCGGAGCGCGTTCCTCATATACAAACACGTAACAACCGTGACAGTTGTTAGTTCACACTCTAGTGCATTTTTAGAGCGTCCTTCATTGTGCTGCAGCGGCGTGCTGATAGTATCGAGCTGCTGGTCGTTCTTTGTGTGGTATTCAAATTTTTTGTTACCACATTCATTGCTTCACCCTTGTGGTAAAACTGGGAATAATAATAATAATAATAATAATAATAATAATAATAATAATAATAATAATAATAATAATAATAATAATAATAATAATAAGTTGATGCTGAGGACAAGTAGAGATCCTGTAGCTCGTGGTCATCATTGGAATCGGAAGTTACTTATACGAGAGTACGTAGAAGAATTTTACAACTAAATTATTATTTACATATAGCTAATCTAAAGGTGTCACCGTTATGTCAGGTTTTCGAAGAAATGAAAACAATAGATCATTTCTTTTTATTTTCTCGCCGATATTCTTATCAGTGGGAAAACTTCCTGGTAGCTCCACTTGAAAAATTAGGATTAGAATTAAATGTGGACGTAATTTTATCGTTTGGCAGCATTAAATTAGGTTATAGCCACGGATACATCTGATCTGCGGCATTTGACTACATAACTGAAACAAAGCGATTGCCACGTTAGTGTACATTTTTTTACTTATATCTTTCGTTTCGGACCCATCACTACCTCTGCTTCAAACCACATCTAGTAGCCTGCATCCTTGCTCAGATATACTCCTTTCTCGATTATTGGCTTTCCTTTTATAGATATATTTTTTTCAGTCCAAAGTTACTTTCTGTTTGTAAAACCATAAGCCTTTAACTTCCTGTCGATCCTGCCGCCGGGTTCTTGGCCGATCCCCCTTTGTGGGTGTGCGCCACTATAATAGGTATCATCATCATTTCGGCCCATCCGTTTTGTGGGTGAGCGCCATCCATCTGAAGTTATCATCATCACTACCGACACGCACGCTCTCAGCCGGACAGCTCCCGAGCCATTTTCAGTGCCAGGCTCGTCAGCAGCCACGGCGAGAAGGCAGGTGTGGGTATTTTTTCTCTCTCATTATTCTGGTCATTTTCATTACGCCTCCCAGATTATACACCAATATTTGAAGCGGAATTAACGGCCGTTATACTAGCTATTCGTAAACTTCCTGTGACTCATTCGACAGCTGTGATAGTGACTGACTCGTATTCTGTGTGTTCATTCTTATCATCGTCGTCGACATCAGCAGTACTAGAGACTTTTAAATCATTAATCCCAGCAAACATTCGTCTAGTGCGAATGATATGGGTGCCAGGCCATCGTAGTATATTTATAAACGAGATGGCTGACAAACTTGCGCGAACATCTCTTGATCTTCCGATTGTGCCAATCATGCCTCCTACAGCTTATGTAACAGCAGCGAGGTTTAGAAAACTTTCCCTTCTTGAAGACTCATCAAAAACCATGATACCGAATCCAGATTTCTCGCACCTGCACTTCACATGGAATAATAAATGGTGTCCCACGCGTAAATTGGAAGTCTTGGTAACAAAATTACGTTGCCGTGTACCACCTCTTAATTTCTACTTAAACAGGTCTGGTCTGGTGCCATCCCCTCTGTGCTCAAGCTGTAACGAACCTGAACATATCGACCATTTTCTTATCACATGTCACCGATTCAAAAATCAAAGAAAAAACTGCTTCGAAATTTTATTCAGAAAATTAGGAATATCACTTAATACTCCCAATATTTTGTCTTTTGGGGCCATTTCATTGGGACATAGCAACATGAACATCTGCGGGGCTCTCTGCGATTTCATATATAACACAAGAAGATTACCTTGCTGAGTCAGCCATCAGCTCTCGAATTTTACTAGTCACACTACCACTTACTATTTAGCTGATACACTGCAATGATTCTACTTTCAGGAGAATTTCATATAACGATTCCACCACAGATATTTAACAAATTCTATTATTTCTCCCCCCCCCCTTTTTTTTCTTTTTTTCTTTTTTTTAACATTGCGCCAAATTAATTTCACAGTCAAAACACAGTATTCATATTCCCCTAATCTAGAAAATCTATAGGTATTTACTTGCAATAACCACCGGCTTCTTGGTCAATCCCCCTTAGTGGGTGAGAGCCACTAAAGAAAGGAACAAGCAAGCAAGCAAGCAGCCGCGTCACTCCATCTCCAGGCAGGCTCATCATACTGCCAACACATGCAGTCATGGAACACGATGTATGCCAAAGAAACGCCAAGCCAGGAATGTCTGCACAGGGTGAAGCGTGACCTCGCTGAATTCCACGCAGACCCGCCACCGGGCGTCTTCATGGCGCCCGAGGAAGACAACCTGACGACCGTCCACGCGGTCGTTATGGGCACCGAAGGGACGTCGTACCAGGGAGGCTTCTTCCATCTGCTCATGAAGTGCACGAACGCCTATCCAATGTCACCCCCGAAAGTTCGCTTCATGACGACCGACGGCGGGCGCGTTACGTTCATCCCGCACATCTCTGCGGGTGGCCACATCTGCCTGAGCCTGCTGGGCACCATGGCTGGCCCGCCCTGGACCCCCGCACTCAACATGACGACGGTGGCCGTGTCCATCCAGTCGATGCTGGACGACAACATCGATTGCGTGGACTCTGCTTTCGAGCACATTATTACCGGTTACTGGGGTTCGTACTGCTGGAATAAGATACGGTACGACACCCTCAGGGTAGCAGTTTGCGGTACAATTGAATCGTGTCCTCGAACACAGCTGTCCTTTTCCGGCTGCTCTGCGAGACCAGCTGCTCGCCAAGTTCACCGAAGACTTCGAGAAGTACGAGACTGGTGGCCAAGGAGGAGCTGGCCAAGAACCAGGGCGGAATTCTCGCTTGGTTTGGCGCAGAAAATAAGTACCAGACGTTGTTGACCAGGTTGCAGAAGCTCAAAGAAAGGGTCGACGAGCGTAACGGAGCAAACAAAGCTACAGCCGTTTCCTGATCAATGTACGCAGCAGCACTCGCCGACACACTGCAAGTACAGCTGCAAGTGTTGCGTGGTTACTGCATGCTTGGCGAGGCGTTGAACAGTGTCAAAGCCAAAGGCGGAGCTTCCGGAGGGTGCTCGAGGAACAAAATTGCAAATAAATTTATGCCTTCGGGCTGATTCGGTCCCCTTCTATTGTTTGAATAAATCAGCTTTATATTTACAATGTCGTTTTTTTAACAGCGGAGTTGTTTAAGCTCGAGCTTGGTGCGTTGCTCACTGAATTCGTTGACCAGATGGCGTGACCATGCACCGCCAAGCAAAGCGTTGGCTAAAAGAAAGGATGATGAGGGAAAAGGAAAACAAGTTTTTTTTTTCTTTGCGTGACGGAATGCTATGTAGGTTATCCACGGTCCCAAGGTGGTGGTAGTGGTCGTGTAAAACTCCATTCTAAAATAGGGTGTCCATTAGCCCCTGATGTCTAAGTGACAGACTAGGTGACATCCTCTCTCCGGGACGTCATTGGACAATACCTCTGCTTTTCCTCACGCAGTGAAGACCTGTTGGGTCCCGAGGTCAGAGCAGCTAAGCAACCTTGCCTGCAATCCTCTCGCGTCAGGAAGTGGAGGAATGACTACGGTGAGCTGGCAGCCCCATACCACATGCTAAACATCGGCTGTCTCTCCACATTGATTGCCCCTGTTAGTGTCTGCGGTGTCAAAGTACTGTAAGATGGGCGGGCATAACAATGTGTTCGTTTTAAGCCGGTGTAAGACCCTTTCTCCCACCTTATCCAGAACCTCGGCGGGAGGTAGATAGCGGCAATTCTGGGAGCGGTAGCAAACTTACCAGGGGGCTAAAGAAACCAAAAACAAAAAAAGTACTCGCGATAGATGCTGAAACAAAAACAGACATGCTTATTTACTGAAATGCGTAGAGCTCAGTTGAATCTACTGCTTCTTTTGGGCCTGCTATCCCGGGGACGACAAAGACGTCAGACCATTAAGCAGTAAGAACAAAAGAATGAAGTGATGACTCACAACTTGGCCGCGAAACCCATAAATTTACTCTGTCGCTCCCTTGTGATAAAGTGATCGCATCGAAGATTGAGTAGATAAACAACGGAGAAGGAAATAGCAAGTCGAGTATTGGGGGTACGCGCGTGCAACCACTTTGAGCCGACGAGAAGTTTCTTCTAAGCGCCAGTTTCGCACTGCCTGAGGTTCTTATTAGGTTGATCGAAACAGCGAGGACGAACTGGAGCCCACCCTAGTCAAAAAATTGAAACGCTGCCAGCGCGCATGCAGCGTCATTCAACGTCATCATCGATGCACTTAAGCTTCTGGTAACGACATAAATTGGATCGCTTCCACACACACACAAAAAAAAATAATGAAAAGAGCGATAAAGAGAGAGAGAGAAGAGGCAGAGAGAGATGGAAACAAATAAGGCACGGCAATATCTAAACTGGTAGACAAGTCGGACAAAAGAAACCGGTTTCAAACTAAGCTACAGTTATCTTTCAACTCATCCTGTAGTAAGATAATAAGCGACCTTGACTCCCGCAAACACTCACACAAACACTCACTCTTCCACCCGAGTAACACACACGACATGGGTGGATGAGTGAGTGTTTGTTTGAGCGTTTGCGGGAATCGAGATCACACTAATTGTCTTACGATATGACAAATAATCACCTAGCCAAACAGCAAGTTTTATTGAGTTTCATTATCTTCCAACTATCTTCTTAAGTGATAGAAAGAAAGACAAATGACTGAAAAGCAGGAAGGTTAAGCGGAAATAAAGACTTCGGGTCCGCTATCTTGTACTAGAGGTAAGATAAATGTAGAAAAAAAAAAGACGGAAAGATACCCGAAGCGATTACACAGACGAAGTTGAGATCGACAGTTTTATCCTTTTTAGCTTCGTGGAAAATTACTGCAGACCTATGAAGCTAAGATTGATAATGGAGCGAAGCTAGCTACGATAAAATCGCGATAATGTCACCGATCAGTACAAGGGACCGACAGATCTACACACAAAGTACGGTCTATTTTGAACTATATGCGCTGCGAACGCTCCATAAGCGGTATATGTAACACCTGTGAGTGTTTCCGACGGGAAGGTACGACAACGGCGTCAACTGGCTTAGTGAGAGGCTTCGCTCATAAAAAGGAGTATGTGTGGAGCACGACCAGCGTGGTTGGTTGGTATTATCTATTTTAATGAGTTTACTTCGCACTCGCAGTATTAATTTCGAAAAGACTTGTTCACAGACCCTGACTGATGAACGGCCCAGTTTTTGGCAAAGAATTTGCAAGATGCGAAACGTAAGGCAGATAAGATACTACCTGAAAACAACGCAAACACTTTCTGTAAGCAGCCTGAGCCCACGTTTTGACGAGCGGCTCCAGTGACACCCACGCGCTCAAATGATTTTTCTAGTGTTTCAATATTCCATACTCCCTGAACATCTGCCTTTTCTAAAGCATAAATATTGTTATACACAGTAGACGTAGAATACATGCGCACTTTTTGTTTAAAGAGGTGTGGCTTGTGCACCCACGCTCAACGAGTCGGAGTAACGCTCCGTTCAAGCGATGCGCAACCGCACTAAATCAGCGACCAGAGTGTCGAAGCTCCCGTCACTGCCTACTGTTTTCGATGTATTCCTATTTTCCACATCCTTATGAAGACGACATGTCGAAAAGGTTGGGGATTATTCAAGGCAAATGAAAAGAAGTGAACAGCGCCAAGCTGCCCAGTTTCTATAACAAGCCATCTCGTTTCCTTACAAAAGCTGCTCGTTACAAACTCCTCTTTCAGGACAGTGAACCCAGAAGCCGAACTAGGCAGACAAACGTCGCGTCTCTTTTAATCTCAGCTTTCGAGACCGTATTGGCCCAATCGCACAGCTATATCCTGTCGCCCCCCAACCCCTCTACTTTTCGTTTTAACAGCGCAGCTGTCTAAGCTAGAAGTAAAGTCAACTTCGTATAATCTGCGAGTATGTGCTAATCAGCTGCTATAGTACAGTCGAACTCCTTAATAACGAAATCGCCGGGGAGGCGAGTTGTGTTCGTTGTCGTGAGAACTTCGTTGTCGCGAAAGTAGAAAGATACGCGCACTAATTACTTCGCGCAGCCTTGTCCGCCGCGGTGCCTAAGGTGCTCGGCCGCTGACGTGAAGGTTGTGGGTTCGATCCCAGCCGCGGCGGTCGCATTTAGATGGAGGCGAAATGGTAGACGCCCGTGCTATGTGAGAGCACGTTAAGAAACGCCAGAGGGTTGAAGATTCCTGAGCCCTCCACTACGGAGTTCCTCACAATCATATCGTGGTTTTGGGACGTTAAACAGCAGGTATTAAAGAAATTGTATTACTTCGCTCAGCCAAATTTGTTTGAAGCAGACGCTCCTTCCGTTTTTTCTCGTTGTTTTAAAAAAACTTTACTGCTGGAGCCTGGCAGCTTCGCATAGCTTGGTCATCGTCGTGGACGCCAAGAAAAAAAGCGAATGACTTCAAAAGCCTCGCGCGAAATTGCCTGCCGTTTGTATATTTTGTAGCCTGGTCTTCAATCTCGTGTTCTTTGCGGCCAATTTCGATGATCTATCATCGTCGCTAGATTCTTGCAGCACGAACCAGTCGGCGTACGCACACAAAAAGTCGTGCAGTTCAACAGCTTCTTGATCAACTTGTGGCTATCACCATTGCCCTCGTCAGTCTCATTGTTATCATCGTCATCCGACCGAATGTCAACAGCAAGTGTCACACCGATGGTAGCAAGGTTCGAAACGGAAGCGTACGTATGTGCCCGGCTTGTCAAATGAGTTGCGCTGCAAATTTTAAAACTTCTTGGTTCCCAATTAGCTCATGTATCAAACAGAATTTGCGGATTAGTAAATGAAAATACCCATATCAAAAATACCTTATCAATGTACTTGAGTCTCTTCAAAATCGCGCAGCTAGATTCATTCATTCATCCTACTCATATGACGTAAGCATATCCGCCCTAAAATAAAAATATAAACTACAATCTCTCTTACACCGTCGTACGATATCCGGCCTTGGTCTTTTTCATAAGTTTTCTTTTTTTTTACAGTTCACTTAACCGCATGCCGTACATCACCCCACCATCAAAAATATCGCAACGCACTGGTCACCCGCTACAGGTTTCCAAACCACGCACACACACTACTACCTCTTCTACTTCATTTTTTTTCTCGTACAGCGTCAGAGTGGAATGCCCTTCTGCACCACGTTGTATCCACAAATAACCGTCACATGTCCTATGCTGCTGTGTCTTCTGTTTTACCAAATTAGTTGTAATTGATTGTACTTAACGCGAGTCTTTATTTCTACAGTGTTCATTGTTTGTTATTGTTGTATTTATTTCTACAGAGTTATTTTTGTGCAAGGTTTTCAATGATTATTACGTTATATTACCACATCATGTTGTCTTTTCTAATGTTACCAAATTAATTACTTAGCGCGTGTTCTCGTTTTCACAGTGTATAAACATTACTTTCTTTTACTTTCTCCTCTCTTTCCAAAGTTCTATTGGTTTTTATTTTTTATTTGGATTTACCCATTACACGTTGCCCTCACCCCTTATGTAACACCCCTATAAACGCGGCCTTTAAGGAAATAAACTGAACTGAACTGAAACTTTCGTTATTGCGCTACTGCGTTTTGAATTATCTTCGCTGAGGGAGGGGGAGGGGGGGGGGACAAGCATTGAACTCTGTGGAAGTCGCCTGCGACGCCGAATTTCTTCGTTGTCGAGATAATTTTGTTCTTGAGAGCCTTCGTAATTTGAGGTGTCTAACTTAGTTGCAATGATGTTTCTTTTCAATTTCTTAAGGAATTGAAGCTTATCTTTCTAGCCATACGGGGAGCACGGCACAGCTTTAGGGGATAGATAAATAAGAAACAAAGAGGATAGCAAAGGAAGAGGAGGAGAAGCAGCCAGGATTGTGAGCTATTCGTTTAAGCCATCATCATCATCATCGTCGTCGTCGTCATCATCATCATCATATCGGCCATTCTTGGGAACATGAATTGCTGTATTGCCATGCATACTCAACTGCACGTAAGTCGCAAAACGCAAAGCTTAAAGGAGAGTAATACTACTGAAACCAACACTAAACACAGTTACACATCATTGTAGAATATGCAGCACTTCTTGTTTAAACGTGCTCGGGCTTGTGTGTCCACGATCGACGAACCAAAGCGATGGATGCATAGCGATGGATAGGAAGGGGAGTGAAGGGGAAATGAGTGATCTGAGGTTTAGGGTGTGGAAAAGGAGGAGAGACGGCGATATATACAGAGAGATATATACGGCGATATATACAAAAGCAAGACCGATAAAAAGAAGATGTAGAAAGAGACGAAGAAAGAAAGGATAATAAAGATGCAGAAAGAACTCAATCTATGCTGGTGTATTGTATATACACGCACACGTACGAATACACATACGAACATGCATACAAATAGATAGAACCCCCCCCCCCCCCCCTCGTGAGCTCACAGCAAGTTCACAGCCTGCCTGAACAGTTGGCGAGCTCAGTGTTGGTCGACATTAGTATACTTCGTCTCTTTAATCATATGGGTGACGTTAATTATTTCGCTTTGCGTCAACAAGTCCTTCACTAATATTAAGGTCTGTCGATTCGCAAGCACAGCACGTGAAGATCCCGATCCATCGACGTGCGTCTCAATGGTTGAAAGCATAGCTGCGGCAGATGAAAGAACGACCATTTATCCTAGAGTCGATAGGCTGCGGCAGGTACTGCGGTTCGGGTCGGCGATGTTGCTGCGGAATCGTTGGTGTCACGAGGAGTAGCCAGCAACGCCAGGACCTCGCAAAGAAACGCGCGTTATACCCACAGCGACCAAGCTTCCGTAGGGCTGTAGATGTATGGTTCAATTTCGCCACCCGAAACTGACCGCAGCCCCAGAAAGTGAAGCGCTACAGACTAACGGCCACATAACGACGCCCTTGGCGATAGATTAACGACGCGCTGTTATGCGAAAGGCTTTGGGCGATCGCGTTGCACGATACCGGCGGATACCCGAGACCCCGAGGAGCTCGCGTGGGGCGCGTTAATAACGCAGAAAAATTGCCCCCAATATATATACATTACGTGGTCATTGTTACAAAACGATGTACACTGAGGAAAAAAAAAAACATCTGCTTAAGTGTATATGTGCCTATATATATATCTTGCTGATCAACCATTGTAGAGACAAAGAGAGAGAGGAAGAGAAAGGAAGAGAAAGACAAGAACAATATCTGGCTGGACAGTATGCGTTGCTTTCGGACAGTGCAATTGTCATGACTTCATACTGTCGTTACGGGCTCTCCAGTCATATTTCACCAGCCACAATAAAAACCGGCAGATAATAAAGCCAGGTAAGGTATGGGGCATGGTATTTGTACTATTTTAAGTTTATTGTAGTAATTCTGATAAAGATGTGAGTGAAGCAAAGTGCATGAAAGAGAACCAACTTGCCGCCGGAAGAGACCAAACCTTCATTTTTCTCATTATCTCCTAGATTTAATTAGGGTGTTGCCAAACAAACAAAAAAGAAGCCCTGCAAATCTCTGTTCCTTTATCGATCAAATAATTAGCCTCAGTAATTTAGCGGTAAACACGTTGCACTACAAAGCTTGAGGACGCATGTTCTCTTTCTGGCCCGCCCCGCCGCCGTGGTCTAGTGGCTAAGGTACTCGGCTGCTGACCCGCAGGTCGCGGGTTCACATCCCGGCTGCGGCGGCTGCATTTCCGATGGAGGCGGAATTGTTGTAGGCCCGTGTGCTCAGATTTGGGTGCACGTTAAAGAACCCCAGGTGGTCTAAATTTCCGGAGCCCTCCACTACGGCGTCTCTCATAATCACATGGTGGTTTTGGGACGTTAAACCCCCCATATCAATCAATCTCTTTCTGGCCCCGGCCGGAACTTTTCGGTGAGCGCGAAATGCAGGTACACCAGCGTACTTTTGAGATACACGTTAAGCGCCCCAAATAAGGCAGGTGCTCAGGAGAAGAGCTTTTACCAACGCTCGAAAAGTTTGCCAACACTGGATCGATGACGCATCCACTGCCGTTTTCGCTGCAGGTGCCCCGCCAGCAGCAGCATCATGTTGAACGCCCGCACATGGGCCGGCGCCCTGCTCGCCCTACTTGTGCTGAGCGTCACCTCGGCTGGCAAGGGCGCTCCCCAGTTCGTGCCCAACGGCCGGTACGGCCGCCGGAGCGTCACGCCGCCTCTCGCTGGTAAGCACGTCACTCTTGGCATCGGCTGTCTCACGTTTGTGCTCTATAACATACGCGGCAGCTTATGGCGGAGTTCAATCCGGTGTGCGGCGTGAACTGCGCATGCGCCGACTCCCTCCCCCTCACGTGAGCGCGAAGAGGTGGAGTGAAGGAGGTGGCAGAACGCTTCCTCCTCCTCGTTTCTCCTTTCCCATTTAGCTCTCCGCCACAGCTGTGCTCTCGCATATAATGCTGCGCTCGCTCGCTGCGTTGCACTATCCTAGCGGCGCTCGCTGTTCACTTCTGCTGCACACACACGGTGACACACACACACAATGAGAGAGGGGCGGGTAACATAAGCGGTACACAATGTAGACACAACTCAACACACAAATGAAACATACACGCAAACATAAACATGGAGATGTCAAATGGAAACGCATGTGAACTCCAACGCTGCTTCGCATCCCCGCATGATTCTCTTCAGTGGGAGATTAGTGTAGTGTTTAGGCTCCCCTTTCGAAAAACACTAATAATACTTGGGATATAACGTTTCGAAATTACGATATGATTATGAGAGACGCGTTGTGCTGAAAATTTCGACGATCTGGCGTATCACACACAGAAGCACACTGGTGCATTTCGCCTCCATCGTAACGTATCCACCACGGCCAGGATTCGAACCCGTATCCTTCAGGTCAACAGCCAAGCACGCTACGACACCGCGGCTGAACTTCAAGCAGTTTTAGGCGGACTTGTTTCGTAGTTTTGGTTTCCAAAGCGTGCGATGAAATGCACGAAAGGTGCAGTTGCTCTTTGGCTTCGATGCGTAAAGCAGCGTTTTGTTCACGGTTTTGTTATAAAACAGGTCAGCGGAGCAAGTGGGCATTTTTACCGCAAGTTTGATGGCAAACCTTGTTCGAACTGGTGACACCATTTGAGCTCCCTTGAAATGACTTTATCGCCAACTCGCCAGCTATGTTTACAACATAAAATAAATAATTAGAAATTGTGACTGTCAATTTCGCGTTTATGCACTCCAATATTTTCCTCGCGTATATGAAATAAAGGGGGAGCAGTACGCCAGTATTTAAAAAAATTGCGCAGAAATTACTGGAAAAAAAACAATAACGAACTTGCAGAAAAAAAGAATGAACCAACTGCAGCGGGGTGCTTTCACAGGTCCGTTTGTGTTCACATTAACCGAAAAAATTGTTAGGATGGTGAAACAGGTTACCACAGAAGGTCGAATTATGCTTCACTGTCGGTGACTCTCCACGCGTAGATTTATTCAATATTTTCATTCAAGACTCTCAAGATAAACGACGGCAGACAGACACCATATACTGGACGCCGTTCAGCGATGGATTGATTGATTTGTGGGGTTTAACGTCCCAAAACCACCATATGATTATGAGAGACGCCGTAGTGGAGGGCTCCGGAAATTTGACCACCTGGGGTTCTTTAACGTGCACCCAAATCTGAGCACACGGGCCTACGACATTTCCGCCTCCATCGGAAATGCAGCCGCCGCAGCCGGGATTTGAACCCGCGACCTGCGGGTCAGCATCCGAGTACCTTAGCTACTAGACCACCGCGGCGGGGCCCGTTCAGCGATGGAATCTGAACTTCGCAGTCATCCAAGCTTTGAGTAATCCAAAGCATCTGTCGTTTACCTAGGTGTGTTTTCGCCGTTTTAAAGCTGGCACGTAGTCAATTGATTCGGGATCACCATCCGAATGCTCGCCAAGAGCACATTCTCTGCTTTAATTAACTTTGTTACAGCTGAGCTGTACATGGCCCACCTTCTTGCTTTATTCTTCTGTCCTTTAGGTACAGTAGTAGCGAAAGAACTCTTTTTAATGTTTAGCTGCTTTACCACTTCCAAGAGCCCCCAAACTTTTTATCACCTTGATTCTTCAAATCTCTATCAGAAGCAATAAAGTTATAAAACGCCCGGTGCCTCTAGAGACCAGTCGAGGAACCAGTCACCCGTATATGGGGTTGCAGCGCATTGTGGGAACGGCCAAGCAGCATCGCGCTGCTAAAGAACGGCGATCAAAGACGGGAATACGCCTGTCAGACCCGCTGGTCACGTATACCTTCACAGAGAGAGAGCAGTAGTCTACTTATTGAACGTGAGATAGGATTTCCCGTTTTTTTTTTTGTTTGTACTACCCTCCATCTTTTTGTCTTTTTTTTAGCAACTTAAAAAGAGCAAACATGCTTGTAAACGCTCCAGGGCAATTCTGGGACGCCAGAAACTTGAGTGTCATAAAAAATAAGTCAGATAAATAAGTAAGAAAGACAAGGTCATGAAAGAAAGATAAGCTAGTAGGAATGTGTGGCATCAAATTTGCTCATGGCACAGCTGCATTTCATTTTTATGTATATTCGTACGCAAGAAATCGAGCAGCCAAAGCAAGGGAACAGTCTGCAAGCGGGTGTGACTGTCAAACAACCCGATAATAACGTTGCAACACAGCCTCGGCTTGCGTATACCACGCACTACATCTATGAATGCATAAATACAAAAGTAATAAAGACAAACACGCAACTAAGTCCGCTAAAGGCAATCGGAATCACTAACTCGATGTGTCATCGGCCGGTGCGAACTGTGTCAGCAGCTTGCTTTTGTGGGCAGCGCCGTTTGGTGGCAAGTGTGCGAACCGACAAGCAGTGTTCACAGCCTGCGGGGGAATCATTTCTCAAGCTCGCTGATTGCGTCGGACGCGACTGCCTTGCCCTAACGAGCGGGCCCCGCCGCCAGGGACTCTTCTTCGGGATCCTGGCTCGTGCCCGCCTTTCCCTGGTTAGAAACCGGTGACGCGCAATTAGTGTCCGATACAAGCGCGAGTCAGCTATACCCTTTATTTCTTTCTGTCGAATGGAGTCGCCATGCAAGGCTGCATACGGACCAGTTATTTCGACTTAATGACAATATTAAAAAAAAACTAAGGTCGCTCAGGTCACGAGAAGCAGAAAAAAGAGCGCGTGTATACGCATACCACGCGTGATCCCATTAAATCGGATTATTGCACTTTCACATTTTTATGCATGCAAATCACATACACTCGTCGTGTTCAAACGACAAAACCGAATGAAGCGGCTTCCGTGTTTGTGACACAAAAACGGTAACGGTCCAAATGTGTTCTTAAAATTCGCCTGTTATTTTCGTTTCATGGTCGGTGTCAGAATGTATGCCCCAACTTCGGGCTCGTCGCTTTTCCTGCAAGAACCGCCTTCGACAAACCCCATTCCCACTCGCAAGCCATCCCCTTTCCACCAAGGCAGTGCATAATTACACAATCAACGCGCCTGGGGGTGTTTTTCCCGATCAGCGCAGCCTTCTCGGTATAAACGCCATTCAAGAATGCTTATGTGGACATATCCGATATACGTTAAATGCTTATTAACGCTGTTATCACATAACTTGTGCGGGCTGTTTGACACCTAATACTCTGGGCGCATTGCAATGTGTTCCTAGTTTTCCCCTAAGCGTTTTAACATATATACGTAATGAAGCGGAAGTTATGAGATTTTCGCGGCATGTATAATTATACCCCAGAGCCTGCGGCTTGTAGAATTATTAAGCCTGAACTTTGCTAAGAATAATTGCAGTGGCATGGAGCTTTAGAAAAAGCCAGTTGAAAATTGCCCATCACCACCGCCATCATCATCATTATCATCATCATCATTCTAATTGTATATATGTCCACTGTATACAAATTAAGTCCTTTCCCTGGAGTCAATTACACCCGTTTCACGCCATTGAACCTCGTGCTAGAAAGAAAATTTTCATAGCTGGACTCCCGAATTTCAGGCAGAAGTCTAATATTTTGTATGTTCAGCGAATCTGTCTTTTTACGAGGCGAAAACGCTTGCTCCCTGCGTTTGGCACAAAAAAAAGTGGGCATGGATGCAGTGAATGCATCTCCGACACGTCGTCTTTGCTATATGCCCGTACACGACGGGAACAAAGCGTGATTGCGGTGCTCCCCAATCACACTTTCATACGATCGTCCACTTCGCCTTGCTATTTCTCAGATTCTTATATCATTCACTCCGTCCCGTAGAAGACTAGATCAGTGAACCGGATTGCCATTTTGGCTGCAAAATACGATGCACGGCAGCTTTTTCTAGGTGAGCAATACGGTGAATACATTGCGGTGGTGTTTCAATGAATTGCATAATATATCAAAACTCTATCTAGAAGCACGACGCATATTTTTTTATGAACCGAGCATAATAGCGAGAGAGGAGGGCCGTAATGCAACTGTGACGTTAATAGATCACCAAACAAACTGCAATACTTCGCAGGCTAATTAATGAGTGGTTTTCACTACTCAAGAACCTTGAAGTGGACGCCATTATCCTTTCAATCTTTTCAAAGATCTCACATAATGCCACGGCCTCATATCGGTGTCGTCGGTCAATGGACTTTGGGAGAATGTCTTTGAACGTCAAAGACGGTTCGCAGAAATTGCATTTAAGTAGCCTACTTATCAGATACCGTGGGTAAAAGGGGCTTGGAGAAAGCTATAGAGAAGTACATTTTGCGCAAACAACTTCCACGCGTTCATCGTTAAATAATAGACGTTGTGCCATATTTGTGGAAGCTGCGAGTTAAAATAATGGCCTGTGCAGTCATTTGTTACCGCTTAATAAACTTCACCATTAGCGTTCCGCTCCACTGTATCATTTCGATACAAACAAATGATGCACCGCTATATCGCCTCGTAAAAGCCTTTCGTTCGTGCGCATTTACCAACTTGGGTTTATCTTCCCTCACATTGTATTTAGAGAGACATTTCCATGGTTTGAATGTGCCTCAGTAAGTTCCAGATAATCTGAAGAAATTCAAATCGAGAGAACTTGTCTGTGCAAGAGATGTACGATCAATTATTTTAGCGTTCTTTAATCAAATGAGACACATTACAATGGTCCCATTTTAATGGCTCCCGCAATGTATCCAGCAACTGTGAAACGCTACACGGATTTCGATGAACGACTTCAATCGGTCTCACTTTTCCTCCAAACGCGTTCAGGGGAATCTTTCAAGCCTAATGATCGAATACTGATAGTGGTAACTCAACGACAACGAGCCTCAATCATGTTACTTAAAGGGACACTAAATAGCGAAACGATTGTCGCGTGTCAGTAAAAAACAATTTACCAATCCCGAAAACCCGCTTTTAATTACCACGACACAGAGCTTGGTGAGAGAAAAAACTCACCAAAGAAAAATGTGGGCGGAGACAGCACTTATAATGGTGAAACTTGTGGCATTAAGTTCTCAGAGTGCAGTTTATCAATCTAAACCAAGCATTTGTTTTTCTTTGGTGTTCCTTTAAAACTAAGGACTCATTATATTATAAAGGTGAAAGCACGGGCTGGTCGGTTAATCATGTCCGCCGTGGCAGTACAGCGGTTATGGTGGTTATGGCTACTAAACCAAAACTCGTGGGTTTGGTCCTGGCTGAGGAGGTCGTATATTGATGGAGATGAAATGATGTATAGAGACCCGAGCACGGTTGCGATACCAGTGCTCGTTAAATAACACCAGATGGTCGAAATTTTCAGATCTCTTCACCCTGGTCAGCCTCATAATACTTGTAGTTAGGGTTTAACGTCCCAAAACCACCATATGATTATGAAAGACGCCGTAGTGGAGGGCTCCGGAAATTTAGACCACCTGGTGTTCTTTAACGTACACCCAAATCTGAGCACACGGGCCTTAAGCTTTTTCGCCTCTATCGAAAATGTGGCCGCCGCGGCCAGGATTCGATCCCGCGACCTGCGGGTCAGAAGTCGTGTGCCTTATCCACTAGACCACCATGGCGCGTGAGCCTAATAGTCATATCGTTATTTCTAGTTATAGGACTCCTGCAATTGATCTTTATTCGCGATATTATATCGCTATATCATATCGTGATATGCCATCAGTAAGATGCCATCTTAGAGCGTTTGCATTTTTTTTGCGTTCATCCCTCGTTAATGTTCTGTTTTGAACGACCACGACATAACCCCCCCCCCTCCCTTTATTTTTCCTCACCCAGGTGTATCGAGAGATCTGACGGTGAACTTCTTCGGAGATTCAAGCATATCCTGCGCTTACACAGGATTCGCGGACATCTACAGGTGTTCGAGGTAAGGTAATGTTAAATTCCATGTGATTTAACCAATATAGTCGAGACTGGCGGAGACGATAATACACACTTAGCCTGGTAATCAGGCCGCTCGACATCCACATCGAGACGGCAAGCTCTCCGAGTGATGTCCGATTACGTTGTGCTTGCAAATTTCCCAATCTCGTCATTGCACTTAATCATCTATATCTGGTGTTCTCATCTACTGACATTCATTCTATCACTCATATATAATGGCTACTATCCACTGATTGTATACGTACGCATCACGCGATCTGTTGAAACATATTTATTCTTCTTTATCTCAACTTCACTGTAAGATACACCTACCTGCTATTTATATTTACCGCTTCCTTTCTCTCTGCTCGTATATGCTCTGCTCTAAAGAGTTTACAGGCTCGGGATGAGTTGAGCAGCTTAGATGGAAGGAGATGGATGGTGAATGTATACCCTGACGCAGGTAACTGAGTTACTGTTCATGGAGTGTATCACCTCGCCAATCAGTGGAGATGTCAAGTTGCTTGATCTTAGGCAGCTTATAGAGGTGACGCCTTGCACAGCATCTTGGATGCATTGATGTTCCGTTACTAGAGGACTGGCTTCCGTAGGTCAATAACGCTGGTGACCACTGATGACATTGTGCGTAAAGAACAGGAATTATATCTTCCTGCCGTCTTGTAGGATAGCAGCAGCATCTGTACAGACTTCGCGGGGATCAGCGCGCGTCTTCGATGATGGTGCGTTCGTCAATAATACATGTTGTATCGCTGCGTCGTAAACTTCATTGGCTTGTTAGTTATGCTGAATTACCAGGGAGGCATTGGATCGGGCTAGTTATTAATGCGAGAGCTACGCTGAAAGAGAGCATGCAGCGCAGCAAAAACCAGAACAAGTTGCTGTATTTTGCGACAAGCACGTGAAATAAAGCAATCCAAGAACTGCTAACTTTCTACTCCTACCTCCGAAAAAGCGTTGACCATATAGGCAAGACGATTGCGAGCAGCACGCCATCCCTTATTTTTCATTTCTGCATGCATTACTAAGCTTGTTTTCTTCCGTACTCGATCGGTGGTAGGAGAGGGGGGGGGGGTCGCAGTGGTGAAACTTTGCTGCTACCCAACAGACAACCTTACGCTCGCCTGTGTGCGTAATGAATGAAGACGCGAGTAACTGCGTCCCACGAGATGCTTTCAGTTAACGGCACAGTTTTCTTTTTACGTGCCCACACGACAACCTCGTGGAATTGAATTCGGGAGAACACCAACGCACCTCATCTTGTGCGTCGTTTTCATCCCTTCTGTCTGCCGATCACGCATTGGAGGTAAACCAATTGCTCACCGAACGGCTGACCGCGTTTAAGTGACAGACAACAGCACCCTAGGGAGATGCGTGCAGGGCTCCCTCTATAAACAGTCTACGCGATGCAGCCATGGGCTCGGAGGTGCTGCTTATGATGATTGAGAAACACATCATACTGCCGCGCTTGGCAAGCAAGCGAATGGCGCAATATTATTGCCTGATCGTGTTGTGTCATCGTATAGTTGTAGCTCCATGCGTCAGAAAAAGTAGTCAGCAGTTTATTTTGGGGTAATGCAGACGTAAAGCCCTAACCACAAGTACGCGTCGCAGCGCGTTGCAGCAGGCTTCAGTTGCCCTACGCCCCACTCTTCGCCAGTCGCACGAGGTCAATTTCTCGAGGGGTCACAGAAGTAAGCTTAGCGGAATAAGTATAGGCAGGTTTTATTGATAAATTAGGCGATAATGTACAATATAGACATGTCTTCTTAACGTATACATCGACTGTTTGATTCATGTTCTCCTGTTCGTCAGATCAAAACCGCTTAATGTTTAGAGTTACATCGATCACTGTATGTACGTGCGTGCGTGTGACAGGGACAAAACAGCCCTTATAATGATCTCGATGGTGCACCGCTTATGTTTTGCCTAATTAATTACTTAACTCCATGGTTTACGCTTATCAAATTGTTCGTTCTCTTTATCAAGTACAGTTTACTTTCGCTTTTTGTTCCCCTCTTCTTTTCATTCACAGTAGCGTAGCCAGTAAATTTCCGCTCCTCTCTATCCTTCCAATTGTTGTGTTGTTTTTCTGTTCGCGCTTTGTATCAGATAAGGTCAGGGTCGGGTACACACGAAAACATGTGACGCGATATCCACAAACAACAGTTACGAAATTGTGATGGTGCCTGCCGACAACAACGACGAGAGCCGCTTGTCGTTATCTCTGGAGGACAACCAAGTCTTCCAGCCATTATACTGCGGCTTTTCCAGCGACAGGGACCATTTACGAGCGGTTCGAGAGAATTCCCACAATGTAATGACCATATAACCCACCTTCCGTATCGCCAGAATGACCTCCTGCTCAATGAGTTGGAAACCTTGTTAATGACAAATGCAACATTCAAGCACTACGCAGGCCCTTTCGGTGAGCGTCCCTGCAGAAGCGTTAAAATAAATTAACGACGAGTGCCAGCACGCGCCTAACAAACTTGTTCCGGGGAAACATCCACGTTTGCTTATGAAAATTTTTGCAGAACTTATAATGGTGAGTGGAAAGTTACTTCAAAGATTCACATTTATTTCCTCGCAATTCACCTAACGACGTTTTGGTGGCTATGCGTAAGCCTATGACCTATGCAAGTGATTTAGACGTAGTCAGGATGACGACGACGATGATGATGATGATGATGATGATGATGATGATGATGATGATGATGATGTATGCAGGATCAAGCGCAGTGTAGGAGGAGGGACACCGCGTGCAGAATGCTAAACGCAGTAATTATGTGCTCATGCTTTACGATAGAAATCCTTAATGGGCGCTTTTATTTTCCATACGAAGCCTATTACACAGTGTTCCATCATCATCAGCCTGACTACGTCCACTGCAGGACAAAGGCCTCTCCCATGTTCCACCAGTCAACTCGGTCCATGCAAGAGGTCCATGGTTCGAATCCCGGTGCCACGCAGTTCCCAACCAGATTTTTAAAAAATCTGCGTGGGGATAGAACTGCATTAAGAGGCCTGGGGTGTGGCCTCACTGGTGACCACCACCGGTAACGTACTCCCTCACTAGAGAGGTATTGGCCACCCTGGCGCAGTATCTGGCCACTACCTCCCACATGCATACGTCAATTAACACAGTGTTTGTTGCACTGTAAATAGAACGATCCATAGATCTGCTCAAACTTGCAGGACCATCTGATAATGATACAATCTCCGCGTCACTTATGCGCCGCGAGTCTAGGCACTAGACCTACAGATGCGGTCACCCAGACGCGGTAGGCGTGGATTGTGAGTTCGTTACCAGCAGCCGATGCTGCGCTGCACTGTGGACACTGCTAATCACTGACCAGACTGACAGAATTCGACAAAGGCAAAACAAAAGCGACCAGAGATAGCGACGTCTGTGCGTCTGACGCAAACCGAGTGCATGATCACGCGACCCATAGTCGTGCGGCCCAGAACGTCGGAAATGGGAGCGTGCTCTACGCGCGTGCTGCTGCTGCATGCGGGTGTCACGCACGCAGACATCGCTTCGTGACTCCGCCTCTCATCCCGGAAGTCCGACGCACTGACCTCGTTTACGATGGGGATCCGTTGGTAAACAAAACGCTGGGGGGGAAAATTCGAGTGAGCGAGCGCGATAGCGCACCGCTTTTTAACATTAGGGAGCTTTAGAATAGCGCACCGCGAGCCCTTGCGGTACGGTCACTGCCACTGCGCATGCGTCGTGACGCGAGTAGGCGTTCGCGTTAGCGGACCGCACGCGAAAATCCGAAATTGCGTGCGGTGATGGCGGCCCGCAAGCGCTGGTTTCGAGGCTACGGTGTCGCTGCGATCGTGCGTTGCGGTTAGAAGCAGGGCAAACGCTATTCTAAAACTTATATGGCGCCCGCTACGCCCGCAACGCCCGCAGCGCTTGCAAACGATATTCTAACTCCCTATTATAAAGCGACCGCCGAAGCCTTCGCTAGCTACAATGCTGATGAGGTTGAGTGTTACCAAGTACGATCGCTTTATTCTAACATCTATAGCTCATCGAAAATGATAGGGAGTCTTGGGAAAGCGTAACGCTAAGTCTGCGTTCGATGTGGTCGCCCGCTATTTCGGTCACCTAACGGGAGCCCGCAGTAGGTTAGCGTACGACGCCTGCGCAGTAGCGGCAAACGCAATAGCTAAGCCTTGCGTACGCTATTCTAAAACTCTCTAATGACGTCAGCCGATATGGATGGTTATCAACAGATAACGAACGTGACGATCATGATATCTCGCCCCGCTGACGCAGGTATCGCGCCTGGCCGCAAGTTTAGCCGCCGCAGAACGCAGAGCGATATGACCCGTTTGAAGAAAGAGGCACACCCGTCGTGGTATTGTAATGGTTATGGCGCTCCATCCGAGCGTCACAGAATAGAACCCCTGCCGTGGCGGTCCCATTAAGTCGTGTTCTTTGATTTAAGTGCACGCAAAGAACACCGGAGGGTCAACATTTCCGGAGCCCTACACTGCGCCGTCCCTCATAATCACATCGTAGTTCTGTGAGGTAAAACACCAACAATTATATTCTATAAGAAAAGAGGCGTAATTCCCGAGTGTACCTACACGCGCAAGGCATAATATTCCTAAAAGTAGGTTTGCTATGTTCATGATTTCTTTTAAGAGCTAATTAATTATATATAATCAGTTAGTTAGTTAGTTAGTTAGTTAGTTAGTTAGTTAGTTAGTTAGTTAGTTAGTTAGTTAGTTAGTTAGTTAGTTAGTTAGTTAGTTAGTTAGTTAGTTAGTTAGTTAGTTAAAATTCCTTCCCAAAAAAGACAACCAAATCTTTTCATCATTGGCATCATTGACATCATTGGTTGGTTTGTTTGTTTGTTTGTTTGTTTGTTTGTTTGTTTGTTTGTTTGTTTGTTTGTTTGTTTGTTTGTTTGTTTGTTTGTTTGTTTGGCCGACTAGCTCACATTTTTTTACTATCTATAGTTCTTTAACGTATACCTAAAACAATGTGGCAAGTGATAGCCGATGACCTGCCGTAAGTGACGTTTCACTTGTGACAAGTAAAAAAAGTTGTGTGTTTCTCAATGCGTTGTGTGTATTAGAGGGTTCATGTCACCTAATTTTCGATCGCAGTCATGTGTGGTGCGTTATTTCCCGTGGGCTCACAAACGAACAGGCAAAATTTTAGCGTATTTTCTCAAGCGCCTAATTTATAATCGGATTTTTTAACAAACGCGCGAGTGACCCAAGAGTCGGTGAACACTGGAGCAATCGTGAGCCGTGACGTAACAAGCCGCTAGTTTCGCGGGCGCCTTTATTCAGGCCAACGATTTTGTTTCATGGTCTCCTACATGCTCAGTGAAGCTATTTCAGCTTTCTTCAGCATGCCATTCAAATTGAACGATTTGCTGTGGTTCAAGACGACGACTTCGTTTCATCGTTTCATGCAGCGCATGACGTCACACACGCCGTGACAACATGGCGGTCGCCAGTGGTGAGCGGGGTTTGTAGCCGGCGACTTCTATAGTGCTCATTCTGCAATGAAATATTCTTTTCCAGACCACTTTTCATATAGGGGCTGGCACAATAGACCATCTTATATTTTCCGCAGGAAACCGCAATATATTGGGTGACCATGTCATATGACCCCTTTAACAAACATTCTAGTGTTAGGAGTCTTGTGCTCACGAAGAGTTAACAACGTCAGCACGCGCTCTTTCTGTACAAGCCCGCCGCCGTTTTCGTCACTTGGGAGCAATGAACAGTGTGTACAAGAACATCATGGCGTCCTCGCGGTCAAGTGACTCAGCGTAGCGGCTTGACGCCACGTATAAACAACAAATGCCCCTCACAACATCGACGGTTACGTCGTAATGCCTTCGCCCTCTCCTCCCCGTTCCCCTTCACTAAATGCGCAGGCCACTTCAAGTTGAGGGAAACACTACGGCTCGTCTGTTTATCACGGAAGCCTGTCAAATGGAGGTAAAAGAGAGCCGCAATAAATACGAATACCTCAACGCGTACCCCACGCCCCACTCACAGAAACATATTAGAAAGAACGAAAACGAGACGGAAGAAAAAAAAAACCGGCACCGCCAGCTAGCATCCGTGTATTTCTTTTTTTTTTTTTCACATGGTTGGTGTTGTTATGCAGTAGAGGCGAAGGGAAGTACGTGTGGGAGGAGTGCCGTGGCGTTGAAAGGAAAAGTAAGAGACGCTGAACGTGTTTTTGTGACCTGCAGGAAAGGATTCTCAGCCAACGACTGATACTACGAGTGTGTTGCTTGCTTGCGGCTTCTTGGAGATGGTTTTTGCAAGTCGTAATGTAGTGAGCAGCCTCGTTGGTGCTGTTGCTTGAACTATATATACATGCGCATGATTATATGACCTCCGACGGCTAGAGCCTTCCATGGACTATACATTTTTAAAGAAAGAAAAACTTCTGAGAACAATATTAATCCATAAAAAGGTGACATTGTAGAATCTGTTCTCGTATCATCACAAAAAAAAAATGCCAAGTATGTCACAACAAAATTTTGAATTGTAGAATGGAGCATAATTAAATTTGAAAGAAAATATTTGTAGTTTATGCGAACCCAGCCGTCTTTGTTCGCATTAGGGTGGCTAGAAGGTAGTTCGCATGTTAGCATTGGCTTAGGTTGGCTAGACTTGGCTGGTATTGATTCAGGTTGAGTAATTCAGTGGATAACATTGGTTAATATTGGCTATGGACTCCTATAAAAACGTAATAAAATATCGAACATGCTATAAGAAGTATCTGCACTATCGAGGGCTTCGCACGCTAGGATGATCACACTGAGGGACGTTATCCGCGGTCCTGTTCACTGCAAAACTATAGAGTTTAGCGAGGCTATAAAACCGAAAGCGAAATCTTAGCGCTAGTGTTTATGGGAACTCAATCGCATGCCAGCACAGCATTTATGGGTAGTACATGAATTCGCTTAAGCTTAGATATTTCGGCTCCATGATTTTTTGTTGTTGCTGTTTGAATTTAGAGCTGGCAAGTATTTTCAAAATGCAGCAGTCTCCCATCGTCCCTTTGATTATCTTTCTGACTCGCCATTTCAAGTACTCTCACGAGGTCCGCAGTGAACAGAAGGCGAAAAAACAGCAATAAACGAAGTCACAAGTCCGTTTGAAGCCGCGAGAATGAATTCAAGGAAACCTTATGTACTTCTCATCATTCTCATAGCGGCCGAACGATCGCAGTGCCAGTTTCTTCTAGTAAATATTTTAGGAACCTTCTTGTGCAAAACATCAGATGTAGATACAGTTAATTAAAAAAACAAGTTCTGGCCAAAAGGTAAAAGTAAGGCGGCGACCAAAAGCACTTCAAAATTAACTCATACGTTTCGGCTCCGGTACGGGGGCCTTGTTCACAAGATTTTGTGATTATTCCCTACCAGACGACCTTTCGTCAAACTTGATTTCGTAAGTAAGTTCTATAATTTGTTGCATGACACTGTGGATCTAACTGACATGCATTGTATATGAGTTGAACGAAAAAGGGTAGTGGGGGGGGGGGGGGAATTGATCGAGGGATCGATCGAATCAATCGACTGATACGTGGCGTCATCTATTGCAGGAAAACATCCGAGGATTACAAGGACACGTCGTTCGAATGAAAATGACCAGCTGCCGACTCCACCTAGCAGCGGTGACATCTGACTGACTCCACAACTATGTTCGCTATGACCAGAAAGTGGAAAAAAAAAAGATGACGGATAGAAATTGCAGCACATCCTACGAAAAATGTGTTGTTTTTTTTTTGTGACAAATAGCGCCGAATTTCTTCTAGCTGGGACAATGCATATACGGTAAAACCACCAGGTGCTAAACGACGAAGCAGGGCTATGAAATAAATTCGTTTGTTCCCTGCTCTACTTGCTGGTGAGACGAGGCGATACCGAACGCCAGTTGAATGAGAATTATTCCGAGCGTATACGAACGACCTCATAGTTCTACGAAACAAACGAAAAAAAAAATTGCGCATGTCGAAGTGTACACCGCGTCCGCTACTTACGACACCATCCCGCGCCTTCTTTATTGATGCCTACGTCATCTCCCTCCCCTCCTCCTAGTCCAGTGCTGAGCGATCATACAGTCACGTTTGACGCGAGGCTTCTAGATGGATTCGTGATCGCCTATACGTGCTCGAGCCGTGGCCTTTCGTATGGCGCAGAATCAATCTTCCATTTATCCTGAAAACCTTTATAGGTGAGCAAAAATTTGGCCGGGGAAATCCCGCAGACAAAAAAAAAGACGAAAAAAAGCTGCACCTAGCTTTCACAATTGCCCGTTTGGCACATATCAACGCAGAAAATTTTTCGATCAGAACAACTCACAAATCAGACTGCGCATTTAGCGCCTATTATATCGCGCACTGCATGGTCTACGCAACAAGCGCATCTTTACAAGCAACTACTACACCGGCGTTCTTTTTTGAAGTACGCGTCTTATAGTCGTCCAAACGTTTCAGGCTGTAATGCTCTTAAGGAACGCCGTCGATTTGCAGCTACAAACCCAAGCAGGCCAAGTACGCGTCCATCCGTGAAAAAGCGCGACCGTCTAGTTCATCCGTTAACATTTGAAAGTTGCGAGTGAAGTTTGTCATCTTTAGAACTTAAGATACTTACCAAAGCTCGCTATACGCTGTGTCAGTTATACCGACGCCCCCGGTTCATAAAATTAACTACGCATTTTTGGGGACGTTATTATGTCGCTCTCAAAGGATATGCCTTCGAAAGTTGGTCAGTTTTCTGTGCGTGATGCGGCATCGCATTACTTGGATTGCACACCGCTAAAGTTGCCACTTCGTACAGGAGAGTAGCGATTTGCATGAAGGATGATTGCAGAGAGAATAGTCGAGCAGCGGTTCTACGATGGCAGCGTTCTTAATCCGCACGACGTCCCTCAGATAAGCATCGCGACGAACTCAGTTTCCCGTTGCCCATCAGCTCTCCGTCATCGCTATATAGTCCCTTTAGCATCGTAACAAGCTTATTGTGTACGTCCCAAGCGCGTCACTTCACTTGCGAAACTTATTTTAATTTTTTTTTTTTTGGCTGATCTCGCGCGTCGCATAAACTATATGTATGAGTACCGTTCGGCCACGCGTCAAACGTGAAGGCGAATGGGCCCCTTACCATAACCGACAAACCCTATTCCAGAGTAATACCAGATAAGCTTACGCGTCTGACGATAAGCCCTACTTTACGTATTTCTCTAAAACTGTCAGACAATCGCCGAACAAGCGGCGTCTTTGGAAACACGGCGGCATCTCTTATCTCCTTTGCGCTTCGAACGACATTCAAGTTGAATGATATTCTGTACTAAATAAAGGTGACGCACATACCCACATGTTCTCTGGCTGATCTCTGAACTGCGCGAGTCCGACGGTATACGGGAAAGGTGCAGGCCATTCTGGGTCGACCGAAGCGTTTCGCCTCTTATCAAGTCGCATGCGACTGAGCATGAAGTAGGCCTCAGTGTTCCGAACATGGCTCATAGAAGTCGGTATCGCATCGCCACAACTCATCACGATTACCCTCCTTATCTTCTCCCCATTGGGGAGTGAAGGTATAAAGTTCGTTGAACCTGCGCACTGATATCAACCTAGAAACCGAAACCATTGCAAGAATCTGGAGTGGTTTAGACTCGTTAATTCACTCAGGTACTTCAGCTCACTCAGGTACAACAGATGTATCTTCATTGCTGCTGAGTGAGCGGAAAATCTATGACATCAGACGAGACAAATTTAGTATCATATCGCTTGCGTTTGGTGAAAGTTACGTATTCGCTCGTATAGTGCTTACACAGGAGAGACACCGTAGCAGAATATCAAGTCGCACAATGAGATTCTTATTAGAATCATTAGATAATTATCTCGCTTGAGTGTTAGTTAGTTTAGCTAGTTAGTTAGTTTCTAGTTAGCTTGTTAGCTAGCTAGTTAGTCAGTTAAATAATCAGGTAATAAGTTGGTTGGTTAGTTAGTTAGCTTGTTAGCTAGCTAGTTAGTCAGTTAGGTAATCAGGTAATAAGTTGGTTAGTTAGTTAGCTAGTTAGCTAGCTAGTTAGTCAGTTAGGTAATCAGGTAATAAGTTGGTTAGTTAGTTAGCTAGTTAGCTAGCTAGTTAGTCAGTAAGGTAATCAGTTAATAAGTTAGTTAGTTGTTTAGTTAGTTAGTTAGTTAGTCAGTTAGTTGTTTAGTTAGTTAGTTAGTTAGTTAGTTAGTTAGTTAGTTAGTTAGTTAGTTAGTTAGTTAGTTAGTTAGTTAGTTAGTTAGTTAGTTAGTTAGTTAGTTAGTTAGTTAGTTAGTTAGTTAGTTGAAACTTTCAAACAAGTGCTATGAATGAGTAAAAGGAAGTCGCCCATGGTCATACATAATTTGGGTTGCCGGACGTGAACCAGAATCTCGCTACTCTGATGTTTTCGCACACCCGTGGAAGTGCTGTCCTCAAATCAAACAGACGAACTTGTTATTAACCATTGATGTGAATTTGACCGACGACCATAACCACTGACGGAGTAGGTCTTCCGCTATAAACACGTAAGAATTGTTGTGAATGAAGCCACGGCGAAATGAACCAACAACGAAGTGAGTATACAGGGTGGGGCCCAGCTTTTTGCTATTTTCTTAGGGGCAACATACGATGCCGTAAGTTTCGTATTAAGCTATTTACTCGTTTGTTGAAGTTTCGAGAGTGCTCCATTACACGAAAGAAAAAAAATGAAACTGAACATAATGCAATTTGTTCTTTTTTTCTGCGTATACAGAATAGCGCAAATTATGTGAAATATGGAAGCCGTCAGGATTTTCTGCACATCATCTACCAGACAATGTGAAGACGAACAGCGGAAATCGACATGAAAATTTCAGCTTGTACTCACACTATAGAAACATAAAGAAAAATATTTGAACAAATAAACCACCTGCTTATGCTGAATTAGCTTCGCATTTTGCTGTACCCTTGAGAAAAGCACAATGGTACCGCACACGAAGAAAACATCACATGATCCAGAATTCGACTTAAGTTAAGAAGCTGGGCGAATAAATATAGCGACAAGCGCCAGGTGTTTCTACAGAGAATAAACAAGCAACACAGTACGCCGAACGACATGCTAACAAAACACTGGGCCCGCCAGAGAGAGAGTTCAATATGCACTACTGATGCAGAAATATCGATGGCACTATTAATACTACAATAGGTCTGTGCTATCGAACCATCAACGGTAAAAGAATTGTCGATAGCACTATCGATAGTAAGCCTGATAGCACGATTAGTATAATATCACCAGCGTGAACTTATTCCGGCATCAACTCGATTCGTCGAGTATGTGCAGGTGGAGGAGCAGGCTGAAGGGCACGAAAGTTGACATGGTAGCGCTCTTTCACCAGTATTTTCGGCCGACACATCACAATTGTGTTGAATTATTCATGTGTACGAGAAACGAGACAGATACATTGAACGTTAATATACGCGGCTTCAAAATGATGTTGCATTTTGTAATTTCAAAGTCAGAATATCAAGAAATAGGTTCGTAAATTGTAAGGTGCAAGCGCTTACTTTTGAAGGTGAATTTATTGATATACATACTGCCACATTTTTATGACTGTAATACTTCTTATTTCACCAAGAAATTGCTCATAAGTTAAGTAAACTGAGTATTCACTATAGTAGGATACCACCAATGTGTTGTGGCAATATCGACGACCACCAGCAGCATAGTTATCCACAGCTCTATTGATTGTAATGTCGGCAGTAATACTGGTAATGCTACCGACAGCACTATCACTCGCACTATCGATAATACAAACAATTGATAGTTTCTTTACACTATAGTGTGCGTGTGTGTGTGTGTGTGTGTGTGTGTGTGTGTGTGTGTGTGTGTGTGTGTGTGTGTGTGTGCGCGCGTGCGTGCGTGTGTGTGCGCGTGCGTGCGTGCGTGTGTGTGTGTGTGTGTGTGTGTGTGTGTGTGTGTGTGTGTGTGTGTGCGTGCGCGTGCGCGTGCGTGTGCGTGTGTTGCCAATTGAATGAAGGCCTCTTGCAAGTTGCGTACTTCATATATGCGTCAATTCCAAAAGGAATTGGGCCGCGGGTTTCAGTCCGTTTTTACTTTGTGCACGCTCTACACGAGGAGCCACCATCCAAACGTGTGTCCCCTAACACCTACTAGCAACCAAACATGATAGGTAGATATTGGGGGTTTAACGTCCCAAAACCATAGAGTTTCCTAATTGAGCACGTCACGAATTGAAGAAAGCGACGCCTAGCGCTAAACGCTACATGTAATCACCTAGCCCGCTGCAAACGAGTAAGAAGATATGGATGTGAAAATGAAAGGATGCGGATGCGCACACACCACATCGGATGGCGCGGCGATGCAGTTTTATCTAAAGCCCCTGTAAGGGTCTTTATTTTTATCAGATTGCGGTCATCACTCGTTCGCCCCGGCTTGTTTTTCAGTAGGGTTGAGAGCTGGGCTAGTTGGTGAGACATCATTTAACCATATGGTTAAATGTTGTTTTTCAGACGAGTGTACATTTTAACAGCCGCGCAGCATAGTTATATGGACGCTTTTTGTGGGCTCCATTTCGTGGATCATAATTCGCCTGGTCAACCCTCGTTAGAGCAAAGCAGTTTCAAGAAGAAAACACTTATTGACTACTCATAAATCGATGTAACTACCTACCCCATTTAAAACTAGTTAAGTCGAAAGCCGTTTTAATGCAGCCTTAACAACTATACAAATCATGCTGCGGCTATCTCTGTAGTCACTCCGTCAGTGCATGCAGCCAACGACGTATCACGCAGTCCGAGAGATTCTAAAGGAAATTTAAGATTGAAAATGCTGCAAGTCCGCGTACTCACACAAGGGCAAGCCTCCATGTGCGTATATTTAGGCGCAATTTGAAGAACCCGAAGGTGCTGAAATTTCCGGGGCCCTCATCGACAACGTGACTCATATTCGCAAGTGATTTTGAATCATGATTACTACAGGCGTAGTTCATCATCATAATGGAGTGACTACAACTACACACAAGTTACACATACCAAGGGTTCCAGTGAAAGCAGTTTACGGCCAGAAAATATATTTCAAACCATCGAAGAACTTCACGAGAATCATTGCGAACGGAATAATCTTCAGCTAATGCGTGTCCTATACTGCGTTCAACTTCTAATCAAAGACGCAGTGCTCGACTGAGCAAGTTCTGCGATAAGCGCTTAAG